TTCATGGAGCACCTTCTTTCTATGCACATGGAAATGAAATTTGAGTATGTGATGTTCACAGGTACATTGGCTGGAATAGGTAGTATGTTTTGGAGGTTGAGTGGGGATACCTAGAATACTTGTTTTCTGCACTTACATTAGAAGTACTTTGCTTTTCACTTAAATTATACTTTTGAAGGACATGTTTGTGGGTGACTCTTGGAGACTTTTCAGCATTGCAGGTGGGCTAAGATGCCCTAGTTGCTTCTCGGGCACTGTCATCTAAAGTATCTTCAGTGTGCACTGAAGGGTTCCCCACACTGCCCCTTTCAGAGGGTGCAACATTGCCCCCTCCACTGCCCTTTCCCGTGGGGTCATATCATCTTTCTCCCACTTTGTTTAGTATTTTCTCATCTTTATTTCTACAAAAGGTTTTTTTTTTTCAGTTTTTGTATGTTTATTTTGCTTTTCTTTCTTGCTTTCCTTTAGATTAATTGAACATTTCCTCTCATTTCTCAGCTACAAGTTTAAAATTTGTTAAATTAGGTTCTTAAGTGGTTCCCTAGACATTTTAATATGTATACTTTACATATCAAAGTTCACAGTTAAATTAAAGTGAAAACTTTCCCCTGCTGAATAATTCAATGTCCTTTGAACACTCTTACCTTCTCCTCCTTCTGCCCACATATTATTACTATAAATTAGTTTTTTAAAACATGTCAAAGACCTTATGATTATTATTTTATGCAGCCAATGTTTATTTACACTTACTCATGTGTCTGCTGCTCTCACTCATTATGGCTACTCAGACCTTCCTTGTGGGATTTACTTTCCTCAGCTGTGAAGTATATTTTTTCAACTTTTTTCAGGTAGAGTCTGCTGGTGAGAAACTCTCAGCTTTTCCTTGTCTGAAAACATCTTTATTTCCTCCTCATTTTTGGAAGATTATTTGTCAGGGTGTACAAACCTAGGTTGAAAGTTATTTTTTCTTAGGCTTTGAAGATAGTAACCTACATCTTTTGGCTTCAAGGTTGCTGTAGAGTAGAAAGTCTTTAATTGTCTTCCTTTCTTGGTCGTCACCTTCGTCCTTGCTATTCTGCAGACTCACCATGATGTTTTGAGATGTGGATTTTTTCACTTATCCCATGTAGAATTTATTATCTTCTTCATCCTAAAAAGTTATTGTCTTTCATCAGCCCTACAAATTCCCACTCATTAATAACTAAAAAATAATTTCCTCAAATTATCTCTCCTGCGAGCTCTCTCTTTTCCTATTGTAGAATTCTGATCAAGTATAAGTTAGACCATTTCACTAATATCTCCCTGTTTGTATTGCTTATATTTTTAATCTTTAACAAGTTTATTTAAGCTTAATGGAGTCGTGTAGGTAAGGAGCACATAGCAAGGAGATGGCAGGGACCAGGCACCCTAAGCGCCATCTATCCCAGGATGTTGGGAACCATTCTGACTCGTTTCAGGAATTGTAACTAACTCCCATGACTAAGGATGAGCAAGCAACCTCTGGAATGCAAGCCACAGGAGACAAAGCTTGTCTCTGGTAGTGAACGCTGCCTCAGTTTCCTCCCCTTGCCTCCAAAGCATGGTTGATGTTGATGATGGGTACGACCCCTCAGAGTGAGGGGCAACCTAAGCCAGACTTGATCACTTGGGAAGTCATCATGGAAGGACTCAGGGGGCTGCAACAAAGAGGAAACAATGAACCCTTGCCCCCCAGGTATGTGACATAGCCTGAGTCCCCATGTCCTCTGGGAGAAGTGCTTCCTGGCTCTAATCCAGTTAAGCCTGAAAACCTGATGGGGAGTGGGTGCCGCTCCTTTCCTTGCTAGAACAGTATCTGGGGAGAAATAGGACATAAGAAAGAATTCCTAAAAATCCTGTGGAACCTGCTTTGGTAGGAGTGTTTTCATTCATATATTTAGGGTCGAGCAGGAAATGAGTATGTTGCCCAAAGTTTCTACAAACCCCCTTTCCTGACAGACCCTGACTCAGACTAAGCCCTCAGATTTCTTTGAAATGTTATCTACAGTTTCAGCCTTGCTTCCCTTTATTCCTGTGTATTACAACCCAATAAAAGCCCCAGGAGGAAGGGGCTCTAGACCTTTTTCCTCTGAGAAACTGGCCACCTCTCCTCCCCAAGCAGATCATGTCTTGGTAGTGTTTACTTTTCTGTGGAAAATGGCACAACTTGAGGGCAAAGTTACCCCCTCACCAGAGTTAGCCTCCACAATGTTTGCTCTTTGTTTCATTTTATGAGGTGCCAATATTTTTTAAATAGGGTACATGATATAAGAGAAAAATGAGGCTGTCTGTGTAGAATTCCAGAGGTCTGGCAGCCTGGGTTGCAGGGAACTGAGAGAGTGATCATCAGCCATGAAGGTGGGAGTCAGGATGGGGCATTGTTCCCTGTGCTACTGGAGACAGAGCACACTGGTGGAGGGTTCTCCCATGCCAAATAACACTGCCAGGGCTTCATGGCTGAGAGAGCCATTTTTGTTCCTTAGTGCTGGCCTGTCAACTCTAGTCAACAATCCCTCCCCAATAACAAACTGGAACCTTCCCTGCTTTGGGCACTGTGGGTTGCTGGTACTTGTTGAGCTGGCAGCAGTGGGTCAGAAGTCTGGCTTGCCTTCCTGGATATTGCCTAAATGGAGCAAGGTTGGCTTCTGGGCCTCCTGATCCCACTCTGCCCTACCCACATTCCACAGCCAGAGCCTCCTCCGTCCACCTGTACTTACCTAGGCATAGGTACAATACAACCCAGGAGCAGCTGGGATTATGCTAAGGCAACTCTATCTCAGTGAAACAGGTTATCTGGAAGGCAAAGAAACCCCAGAATCTAGGCTAGAGGTTATCTCACCTATTCTTCTCTTATTGATCATTGCTCATCAAAAACAGCTATGTGAATATTTAGTTTAATTATACTGAACACCCCATGTGGAAGGTGGGTGCTTTATACATGATAACTTCTTTAATTTTCCAAAAAACCTTATGAAGTAGATACTAATATAACCTGTGATGCACAGGTTAGCAGCAGAGATTTAGAGAGTTTAAGAAACTCGTCCTGGATTAAGTGTGTATCTCAGGACAGCTATGTCCACTTACCACTTTCTAGGCTGGCCTTACATCCTCTCAAGTGAATCCTCAGTGGTTTTTGACAGGAGCCGGTGGTCCCTCATCAGGTGAGAAACTCTCTCAGGTTCACCCCAAACACTCCATGATTCCATCAGGCTCAGTCCACACTAACAAATAAACTTACCATAAACTATGGAAGTCTACTGATAGACATACTCGGACCTGCATGACTTGCATTTTTTTTACTGATTGTTTTTAGAGAGAAAGAGGAAGGGAGGAAGACAGAGAGAGAGCACCACTGATTTCTTTTTTCCTTTATTTATGCATTCATTGGTTGTTTCTTGCATGTGCCCTGCCTGGGTATCAAAACCCAGACCTTGGTGTGCTGGGATGACCCTCTAAGCACCTGCAGTACTGAACCAGCACCTTGCATGACTTGCACATAAATGGAGCACTCCATGACCTATGCACAGGAATGCATGGAAACACAAATGTGCGATTTCGGAATTCTCTTGGGTTTCCTTTTGTTGTACTGCCACCTTGCTTTCTCTGCCTCTGGGAGAACCGGGTAGGGTGTTTCCCCAGTAGGGGATTTGGAGGCCATGTTGGCATTGTACCACTCTCTGAGTCAGCACCTGAAATCTGAGTTCAGAGACCAGAGTTCCACGTCCGCCTTTTTTCTGGTTTGCCCCCTGGCATCTCCATGCCAGGTCCAACCTCTGCTCTTCTCTGCCCTGCTGGGAGGCTGATTGCTGCATGATGGCTCCCCAGGCTCCCTTTTTCTCTCCCTGTGCTTGAGTTTGGATGAAAGGAGACACCACTAAGAGCTTGGTTGGTGGGAGGGGAATGGGGCTGAGACATTTCTTCTCTGCTTCTTCCCTCTCCAGAATCACTTCTCTGGCAATATTTGCCCCTGCTAGACTTCAGGAATGCTGTCTTCTCCTTTTTTTCCCCTTCAGCTTAGTAATGTCAATGGGTTTTCTGCTGTTGCCAGTCTCTGGAAGCTACACCATACCTTGTTTGATTCCTTAGTTCTGTTATCTCTCTAGAAAGAGCCCTGCATTCGTGTCCTTTCATCTGAAATATCTGCAGTGAATTGTTTCCTGTGGGATCCTGACTGTCACAACCCAGGACAGGAGGGAGAAATAGCAGACTCTCTCCAGGCAAGGTTAGGGCCTGGGAAAACCTTCTTCTTTATCAGACTTTGGGCTGGGCAATTGAGGGTTACACCTGCCTCACTGTGGGGCTTTGGAGAATTCCCTGACCTTCTCTGGGCCCAAGTGGCTTGTTCCATCAATCCAGGAGGGACTGAATTTGATGATCCTCCTCATCACCCTGAAAGTAGTATGGTACATTCTTTCCTGTCAAGTTTGTAGTATGGTCTTGTGATGAAGTTGGCCCTTTTCTGACCCAGAATGTCTCTTCTGGAGCTAGAACCTAGTTTGTGACAGTGCCTCTCAAAAAGGAGACTGAAAGCATCATATGCCTGGCATTTGTGGAAGCCTCCCAGTGGCCCATATTGAAAGGGAAAGTAGAAAGTTTCCTTTGAGCCTCAGGTTCATTACCCAGAACATGGTATAGGGTGAGTATGTATGACTGCTTCATTTGGGTTAAATGAGGCTTCATTGTGTAGAAGCCTCCTGAAACAACAAGGTGCTTATATGAAAAGGCAGTTGTTATGCCAGCGATTTTACCAAGGAACTAAGGCATGATATTCCTTGTGGGATTTCTCTGAAGCCTGCTACGTGGTTTCTCTCCAGCTGTTTTGAGATTAATCAGCCAGGCTGTTTGTGCTGTTGTCTGTGACTTCAGGGGCTGATTTCTCTTCCTTATGAAGCTCCACCCTCTAGAATGTTGCTGCTGGTTTGGCTGGGGGCAGGATCAGGCAAGGTGCCAGCATGTAGAGTATAAGTGAACCAGAAAGGAGCAGGAGGAGCCTGGGTGGCTGCAATTCCAGCTATGGGGCCTGTATTACTCTACCTGAGTTTCTGTCGCCTGTGCCTGTGGGCTTCTGGACTGATCTTGGTCTTAGGCTTCCTCAAGCTCATTCATCTGCTGATGCGGAGGCAGTTTCTCACCAGGGCTCTGGACAGCTTCCCAGGGCCCCCCACTCACTGGCTCTTTGGGCATGCCCTCGAGGTATGTGGACAGTGATATGAAGAGGGAGGGGTAGAAAAAGGAAATGGCCTCTTTTTCTTCAGAGAACTCATCCCAGTCTCCTGGGGGCCAAGGCATGAGACCCTTACTAGGGCAGGGAAATGATATCCTGGGAGCCATGGTTTCCATTCAACTTTGCCACCCAGTCTTCCTCCTCAATCCACCTTCTTTGCTGTCCTTGCAGGGGGCAATTTAAAGTTGGAGCCCAAGAAGGCCACAGACTCCTTTCCATCATTTTGAGATCCAAGGTTGAAACAAAAGTCCTGCTAAGTGCTTGGTGATAACATCGGGGCAAAAATCCTGGACAGTCTGATAAAATTAGGCAATCTTGTTTAAAGCGTAATCAACATTCTCTTTGTTCTGTGCAATGTATAGATTTCAATTTTATGGTAGAGAATTATGAAGTGAAGGCAGAGATGAGTACTGTCACCCAAAGAACACGCAGGACATCTAAGCTGTTAGTGTTATTAAAGGTGGGGTTCTCCTGGCCATGGCTAAGGGCTCACTCAGGAATTGTGACATCTTCTTGGGTTCATAATCTCACTTGCTCTGCCCAGTCACTTCAGGGTGGAAAGGCCACCTTAACACCCATTGTCAGGAACACCTCTTAGCTCCCTACCTTCGTGGGGATCTAGACCAGAGGTTTCTGCACACAGGGAAAGGAATTCGTGCACTGGAACCAACCAGGAGAGTAGATTCCTTGTCCTAAAGTACCTGGAGTACTACTTAGCATATTGCCAGTAGAAGCCTGAATTAACAAACTTCCATGGGGGTATTGCTCCTCTGCCAGGTTTGGGAGCCCAGGTGTGGATGCCAGAGATTAAGGCTCAGAGAGAGGCATAATTACTTCTTCTACCTCCTGAGTACCTTCCCTGATTCAGAGTGTGGGGAATTGCTTCTCTTCCATGATTGATGCTGGAAATGAACTTGATTTTCAGATGAGGATTGCCCAGGCTTGTTCTTGCCCCCACATAATCTCCTCCCTCAGGAAGTCCAGGTAACTTTGGAGACACCCAGGAAAGGAAAGAATGCATGAGAAAGGTGAATCAGACCCAGGCTCTGCTCTGAAGAAGCTTACTGTGTAAAGGGGAAAGCTGAGACCAGAGCCTTCCCTGCCCCAGATTGGGTTAAGTGACTAACCAGGAGTTTGGATGAGCCTCTTGTTCTTGTCTGCATCAGCACTTGTCTCACTGGGGTGTCGTTTTCTGTTTATTTGTTCATCTTTCCCAATATTGACATAGAGATCTGGTCTGATTCACTCCTGTACCCTCAGGGTTTAGCACAAAGCCTGGCACAGAGTAGGCATCATTGCATGAACAAACATTGGATGGTGGAGAGTAGGGAGGGCTATTGGTAGAGGAGAGAGAGTGATGGAGAAGACAAGTGGAGGAACCAGGAGGTGTTTGGGATAGTCTTTGCTAAGTACAAAAGGAGGTGATGGAAAGGTTGAGGTAGGGCCCTAATGCTGCCATAAGAGGCATTTGGGAGACCTTTAATCTCTATTCTCTCACAACCCCTCCACTTTCTCTTGCCTCCAGTGAAGCTGGGTTTTCTAGGATGGGCACCTTGCTCCCCTACCCTCACATCAGAGTTTGCTCTTTTTCACCCCCAAATTCCACCTTCCCACTCTCCTTCCACCCACTATAAGCCACCTTGAGAGTATGTGGCAGGTCTGGAACATGGCTTAGCTCTGGCTATTGCCTCCAGCACAAGTATGTGAAGGGTCTTGGCACCCAGGAAGGGCATGGAGGGGTTGATGATCTCTGACACTTCTGAAGTTACCTGGGGATCTGTGGCCGGCTCAACAAGTCTGCAGTCCCGTTGAACTTAGCACCTCTTCTCTGGTTGGATCCATGATGCAGCTTTAGAAATAAGAAGGAGAGAGGAGTGATTATTTTCCCTAATTTGTATATGTGAAAACTGAGTCTCAGAGAGGGCAAGGAATTTGTCTGTGTTCATGTTGCAGCTCAGGAATTGACTTGAGGGTAGACTCAGAACTCCTGCCTTTTCATTCAGGATAAAATCAGGCCATAAAAAGTGACTGCAGCCCTGGCTCAATTGGGCGAAGCATTGGACCGCACACTGAAAAGTGTTGCAGGTTGGATTCTTCTTTAGGGCACATACCTAGGTTGCAAGTTCAATCTCCAGTCAGGGCATGTATTGGAGGCAGAAAACTGATGATTTTTCTCTCACATCAATGTTCCTCTCTCTCTAAGCATCAGCAAACCTATCCTTGGGTGAGGATAAAACAAAGCGATTCCTAGTCCAAGTGGTAATGGCAGTAGGAAAGGAGGAGAATGCCTTGAGGTAGATGGAAGGTCCTGGGGCAGGGAGGAAGTGTCCATGAAAATTAACTTTTCTCTTCTTGGTCTTAGGTGTAGCCTAGATGTTCAGAAGCATTTAACTGTCATGCTTCTTAATTCTCAAAATGTGTTTCCTGGAGGCTGGTTTATGTCCTGCCCTATTCCTCTAGGGTTTTGCCCATTGCACTCAGGGGGCCTGGGAGGACTTTGCACATAATGAGATCTCAGTTAAATTATTGGCCTGAGGTTTAGACCCCTAGAATGGACCCACAAATCTGACTTGTGTGTTGGGGTTGGGAGAGGGAATGCCAGTTGCCTGCCCAGGAAAGACCATCCCTTGAAACTCCATGGAGACATCCTGACCTCAGCCCAGCAAAGAAGGGCATGAAAGTGGCATCTGGCCATGTTTTCAGGGCAAAGGCACTGGCAATCAAAGAACTGAGGACACAGGTCTTACTTCAAAACCTGCCCGTTCAAGGGGGAGATTGGTCCCCACAGCATCCCATTAGACCTGTGAGGCCAGGGGTGGGGTACTGTGTGGTTGGACCACACTGCACTTTTCTACGAGGGCACAGATATGCAGAGGGATCAGGCTGCCTGTGGGCAGACCAAAGGGTGGGTGACCAGCTGTGTGTCTTAGAAGAGCTGGCCAGGCAGCCAAGTGAACCCCCAGACAGAGGACACCCCAGGGCATTGAATGGGGCTGCAGTTTCAGTAGCGAGGTCAGGTGCTGAGGGCTCCCCTCACTTCAACTAGATTCCTGGGGCAATCAAGAGCATGTAGGAGAAAGCTGGGGTTAGGGAGGCAAGGGCTGGATCAAGCTGTGGACATGGTCAGCATGAGGTCAGGGCCTCCTGTCCTGCGTGGGGATGACACAGAGGGGCAGTCTCATGACTGAGGAGGAAGGGAGTGGGCTGAGATGAAGCAGGTCAGTCCAGGGCTCCTTCCACCCTTGAGATCCTGTGAGTCTGGCTTTTCTGTGACTTAAGCTTGTCTCCGCCCCTGTCCAATAGATCTTCATTGACTGGGGAGGGATGGAGAGGAGACCAGCTGTCATGGTGATTAGATATTAAGTTGGGAAAGAAACCCCAGGAGGTCAGGTGGAAAAATGAGACACTCAGGATGAAGGGGGCATTTCTAAAAATAAGATAAACTTTTTAAGTGTGTGCCCCAGGGCAGTAAGACACTTAACAATGACCTTACCTCAGCCCCCTGGGTTAAACTCAGGATGGAATTCCAAGGCAATGAGTGAGAAGATCAATGGGGAGGTTTCACGTGACTGTCCAGAGGGTCTGGGAGGAGAAGAGCCCCAGAGAAGGCAAAAAGATGGGTGGCTGGAGACAAAAGTAGCCATGTCACATGTCCAGGGCCCTTGGGGAAAATGGCTTGGGTAAGGCATTATCAGATGCTCAGTGTCCTTCAAGGTTGTTTCCTGGCACAAGTGGATTTGTTGCATGGGTAAGGATCATGCAAGGGAACTTTATTGAAGAAAAAGCAGGGCCAGCACTTGCACAGACCTCAACATGATTTGCATATCCTAGGATTTTGCAGCGCACAATTCATGCACCCGAACACAGCAGCCCTGACAAACTTCACTGGCAGTAGGGAACCTGGGGGCATTCACCCGAGAGAGTAATACTAACCTACAAGCAATAAGCAAATCAATTCTCATCTGAACCTCAGTTTTCTCATCTGTAAAATGGGAGCAATTATCCATTCTGCATGAGGCAGTCTGTCAATTTAGTTACATATTACCAGATATATAGGAGATACTGAATGCATATCTGTTCCCTTCCATTTCCTATTTCAAGAGATAGAATGCAGCCCCGACTGGTGAGGCTGAGTTGGTTGGGTGTCTTTTACAAAGCAAAAGGGGACTGTTCCCATTCCCAGGCAGGGGCCCTGCCTGGGTTGGGGGCCGTTTGCATATGATGCATATGATAGGGAACAAACTGATGTTTCTCCCTCACATCAGTGTGTCTTTTTTTCTCTTTCTCTCCCTTTTTTCATCTCTACAACGTAAATAAATCTAATATTTAAAAAAAACAGAGAATGTAGAAATAAGCAGCAAATGTGGATTAGCCAGAGCAGGCATGTAGAGTCAGCTGGGAAAAACAAATAAACGTCTGCAATGCCATTTGAGCAAGACTTCGACCTGGTTTCTCATGAGACTGACTAATCCCAGACCAGTGTCCACATTAGGCAGATGCTTTGTGGACATCTGCCTAATGTGGAGTGCTGTCTCCACTCCTTTCTCGTCTTCCTCTTTTTCAGTTCCTCTATTCAGTGTATTTGTTCCCCACGCACTTTATCAAGTATGTGGTGTTTCTGAGGCTCTGTGCCGATCTCCACAGTGACCCAGACATGCCACAGATGTGATCTGTGCCCTTGAAACTCACAACCCAGAGGGGAGTCAGGGGTCCTGGGTGTGAATCGCACTTTTATTGCTAACTAACCATGTGTCAGAGCTTCCCTGCCTCATCTATGAAGTGAGAATTATGATAGTGTCTGTCTTGTAGGACTTTCTGAGGATTTAATGAAAGAATGTGTATATCAGGATTAGTTCAGTGTCTGACAACTTTAAACACTCAATGAATACCAATATGAACATTTAAAATATTTTTGGTCATGCAAGCAAGGAATTATAACAGCAAGCAGAGCATGGGTAAGGTAGTAACAGTGCTGGAGATGCCCAGAGGAGGCAGATTTCACTCAGTCGAGGATACAGAGGTTCCTGGAGCAGGGCATTCAAGCTGGATGTCAAGGAACAGGCAGTACTCAGCTAGAGGGTATATGTGGAGCAAGGAATGGTATCAGCAAAGACACAGACACGATGCCACACCCTAGGAGACCATCTTAGTTTTAGACATTCAGACACGCAAGGCTGCCCTAGACCCAGTTAGCATCAGACATCTCTGAGGATATGGGCATCTTGCCAGCAAGGGCACTTCAGGCATTCCTCACAACATCCACATCAGCCATCAGCCATCCACCTGCTCCTAAGGGGCTGGCCAGGGGCAGGGAAATGAGACTCACGTTAGGGGGATGTATGTCCACCTTGTCTTAGAATCCGCAAGCCCTGCAAACACTCACTGACTATCCCAGGGTTCCTGCAAGAGCCATGCACTTACTCTCAGGAAAATCTAAAGCCTGTGTTTCTATCAAGTGTCTATTGCTCACTCATGGTTCTTCCTAGTCTGGATCTTATTTACCAAACAAAGTTCATTTTTGTTATAGCCATGTTGCCTCGCAACACAGTTGACATCCTACAGGTATCAAGTGTCCAATAAAACAAAGTTAGAGAGTGTAAACTAAGGTCAGCATCCATGTGACAGGGGACAAGTTTTGGTTAGTCCTTTACCCATAGGTGGAATTAACTTAGGGCAGGTTCAGAGCACATTCTTCAGTGCAGCTGGGTGCATTTGGGAGTAGGAGGTTTTGGGAGATGCTGGGAGAAAGCTTGGAGGAAGAATTTGGGGAGAGGTGGGCTTGAAGGGGAGGTAACTACTTGTTGAGGGCTTGGCTTGTGCAGAATCTCACTCAAGGTCCTTTCATGCATATTTTATCCCTTCATGACTTCTCTAGTGCTGAAGAAATCCTATCAGCTAAGTATCATCACCCCCACTTTCCAGATGAGGAGGGTAAGATTCAGAGAGCCTAAAGAACTTGCCCAAATTAATGCATCTAGACAACAGAGGTACGATTTTCTGAGGATTAAATGAAAGAATTTGAGTACAACCTGGTTGTATTCAAACCAGGTTGTCAAACTCTGATGATTGCTGGCCATGGAGTAAACGTTCCTGGTCTCCATCCCACTTCCCTTACAAGTATGTGATCCTTGGCCAGAAGTCTCAGATCTCTGTACTTTGGGCTTCTCTTCCCTCAAATGGGGCTTCATAGAATTATTGTAACCATTGGATGAGGCCAAGATGTATGGTGCTGAGAAGAAGGCCTGGCACAAGCACTTAATAAGCATTAGGTGTTCTTCCTCCCAAATGATGAAGCTCAGACTTCATTCTGAGACCCATGGGTAGGTCACTGAAGGGTCTGAAAAACCCTGTCAGAATACAGAAAAATGGATAAATACACAATAGTATATTGATATAGTGGAATGGTATGTAATTATATAAAAAAATTGACAGTTAAATGCACTAGTTTCAAAATTAAGACAAAACATGTTAATTTATCATAAGGCAGGTCTGGGAAGGCATTTATATTATACTATATATTTACATGAACACCTCTGGGTGCATAGGTATGGTTAGAAAAACTCCCAGAAGGCACACACCATCCTTGGAATGATCTCTCCCACCTCAACTCAGGCCACTGTGTCACTGTGAGGCAGCTGCTGGAAGATCCACACTTTTTCCCACCCCAGAGCCTCTATACTTGCTGTTGCCTCAACTTGGAACTTCCTTCTCTTTCTCTTCACATGGCCAGCCTCTGATCATACTTCAGGTTTCACCTTAAATGTCATCTGCAAGAAGAAGCCATGTGAATCACTGTAATCTAAGAAGGTTCCCCTGTTAGTCTCTCATAGTACAGTGCTTATTTCCTTCTTAGAAGTTACTATCATCCCCATGATTTTACTTAACTATTTACACGTCTTGTCAGTCTTCCCTACAGAATGAAAGGGCAGGGCCATGTCTGTCTCAGTCTCTTGAGACACCTAGACAATGCCTTGCAGGTAGTAGGTCCTCAATAAAAATGTATCAAATGACTCAACAGGATGCAATCATGGTGGTTTCCCTTTAGAACAACAACCTTGGATTATCTTCCTAATGAAAAGTTTTAATGCTGAAAACAAATCTCTGGCGGCAGTGTAGATAGAGTGTTAGTGGCAGGCACCAGTGGCCATAAGATGGACATATTGGGGTTGCTGAGCCAACCCAAGTGCAATAAGAGAGTGGCTGGACAGAAAGCAGTGGCTCTGTGGCTGAAGAGGAAATGGAACCAGCCAGGGATAGAACTGGGTGACAGGTTGGAAAAGGAAGAGGGATGGATACTCCCTGGGCCTTCCTGTGCAGGCTGAGGGACTCATTGTGGCTGGTAATGCTGGGTTCCTGACTGACCAGCCCTTCTGTCACCATTACAGATCCAGCAGATGGGGAGCCTGGACAAGATAGTGTCCTGGGCCCACGAGTTTCCCTATGCCCACCCACTCTGGTATGGACAGTTCCTTGGCTTCCTGAACATCTATGAGCCTGAATATGCCAAAGCCGTGTACAGTCGAGGGGGTGAGCATTCTTAGGAGAGGGCGGGACATATTGAGAGCAAAGGGATCATGCTGCTATGTGGGGAGAAGTCTTGGCCTGCAACCTACATCTGGGCAACTGAGATTCACATCCTCTTTATCAATTAGTCATTTTTGGAAATCCCCCAGTCCAGTCTTCTCTGTCTCCTACAGACCCTAAGGCCTCAGATGTTTATGACTTTTTGCTCCCTTGGATTGGTGAGTGGTCACCCTCTGTGCCCCTGGTTCTGGGTGATAAGATTCTTTTCTGCCCTGTTCCCACTCAGTCAGTTATCCAGGGAAGTGAGGGCCCAGGTACCTGATCCTTCTGGGTGTATCTCCCACCTAGGACAGGTAGGGCAATGGTGTGGGAAATGTATGAGTGTGGGGAACAGTTTCTTGGAGAAATTGGTTCTAGAGTTGATCCTTGGAGATATTGCAGGTGGTGCTGTCCAAGGCAAGGGCTTGAGGAAAGCCCTTGGGTCATGGAGCCAAGGCTGGTATCACCAGAGCCTGTGTGGCTGGGAGGTAGAGCTGGTTTGGGGTGTGAGGTTGGGTGGGGGAGGACCAGGGTAAGGTTGGGTGAGACAGGTCTGCTTAGCCTTGGACTGCCAGAGATGGAGCAGAGCTGTGTGCACTGACTAGTCCTCCCTCTCCCATCCCTTTCCCAGGGAAAGGCCTGTTGGTCCTCCAGGGGCCCAAGTGGTTCCAGCACCGCAAACTGCTCACACCTGGTTTCCATTATGACGTGCTGAAGCCCTACCTGACAGTGTTTGCTGAATCCACGAACGCCATGCTCGTGAGCTCCGTGTCCCAAGATCTTGGAGGTGGTGGCTGCCAGCCAGCCACTTTGAGCACAGCTTTCCCTGGGGGAGGACAGTGAGGGGAATCACTGAGGCCCTGAGGTCCTTCCTTCTTGTAGCAGTGCAAGCCCCCTGACACCACATGCCTGATGGGAGCTGACTAGGTTTGGAGTCCAAGTGGCCAGGCATCCCTGGCCCTTTTCTGCTCCAGGAGACCCAGGCATTCTCCACAGACCAACGGGCCTCTGAGGGACCCAATGGGGCTCCTACTGGAGCAGATTTGGGGGATGCCTGTTTGGAAATACAAAGAAGGCCATTCATGTCTAAAAAGTGTCTCCTCACTATCTACAACAACTACCTGAGACAGTGCCATCGGCAACTCTTCCTTTAAAAGGGATGTCAGGGGTAAGGGTCAGGCTCCACATCTCAGGCCCAGATAATCTGCAGAGGTTATACAGGGTTTCCTTGCCCTTGTAGAGCACTCGTCTGTCACATTACTGCAGGCCTGACTTATACACACACTGTGTTGGGAAGCTCACTACCTCTTGGCCCATCAATTCCCTTATATACAGGCAGCCTTGACAGGGAAGAAGTGTCTGTGCATCTTGTGGAAGGCCTGCCTCCTGGTCCTGCCCTCTGAGCCTGAAGCCCTGCCTACCCCCACCCCACAGTCCAGCAGGACAGAGGGCAGGCCAGGGACTGGGTGCCTGGGACAGGCTGCCTCATGGCCCCACCACATTACTTACCCTCTCTGGGCTCCAGGACAAGTGGGAAGAAAAGGCTTGTGAGAATAAGAGCTTTGACATTTTTGGTGATGTGGGCCACATGGCGCTGGAAACACTCATGAAGTGCACCTTTGGCAAAGGACACAGCGGGCTGAGCCACAGGTCAGAGGGCACTTGAGGCACCTAGTCCCAACCCTGGCCACCTCAGAGGGGAGACTTGGCAGGATTCCTGGGCCCTGGTCTGTGAGGAGACAGGGTCTTGCCTTAGGGAACCCCTGCTGGGGGGACTGGGACTTGCCCAAGGCAGGGAGACAGATTCTGGCTTAATGGCAGAGAGAGGAAAGCAGAAAGTGCTGACTTGGGGCTGGATTCCTGGTATGAAGCAGTGAGGGGCTGTGCTGTGGATCAGGGTCTGAGCATCCCTCCCCCTCCATCTCTTTGTAGGGACAGTAACTCCTATGAGGCAGTCAAGGATCTCACTCTGCTGATACAGCAGCGCGTCGAGTCCTTCCAGTACCATAATGACTTCATCTACAGGCTTACTGCACATGGTCGTCGCTTCCTGCGGGCCTGCCAGGTGGCCCATGAGCACACAGGTGGGCCTTTCCCTTTTGGCCCACCCATAGGAAGTCAGGACTCTAATGTCACTCCTTTGAGCCAGTCTGGGACACTGCCATTGTAGAACTTCTATTCCCCTGTGGGCAGAGGATGGGTCCAAGGGTAGTGACATCTTGTACTCCTGGCCTAGACCAAGTTATCCAGGAATGGAAGGCAGCCCTGCAAGACAAGAAGGAACAGGAGAAGATCCAGAACCAGAGGCACCTGGATTTCCTGGACATTCTCCTGGGGGCTCGGGTGAGTGCACAGTTCCCACCCCTTCCTGTGAATGGGTTCAACTGGGGTGTTCAGGCCACCCTCAGGGGCAGGGATCACTGCACAGCAGCAGGGTGGTTAAGGATTTTCCTCTTCTTTCTCCAGCAAATATGGCCTATTCTTTGTCCATGACACATCAGGAAAGGCTCATAGGTGGGATGGTGCAGAGTGTGGCTGGCTGTGGCTGTGGGGGGAGATATAGTAGCAGGAATCCTGGTAACAAGCCAGACAGCCCGTTCTTAGACTAATTCCAGATGTCTAAGACTCTGAAGAGTCTCAGTGCCCTAAATTTTAGAATCAAAGACTTTGTTCATTCACCCATTTATTCATTCATTTACTCACACAGTCCATTGACTCACAGAGCCCTTTCCTGGGTTTGTTCCTGTGGTAGAGATGCAGAAGAGGAGAAAGACTTGGCACTTCTCTCCAGATGTTTAGTCTAGTGGACAGGACAGGAGGTGGATGCTGACAAAATGTCTCCCTGTGTCTGGTGGTATTCTGTGTGCTAAAGGAGCAGAGTCAAGAGTCCATGCTGGGAAATGTCACAGGTCACTTGGCCAGAGGATCGGGCATGAGTCCTAAAGTAGGTGGCATGCAAGCTGAGTTTGGGAGATCAGATAGCAATCTGGGAGAAGGTCCTAGCCTCCAATCTGAAACAGAGCTTTCTCTACCTCCCTTGGACCTTCATTTTACAATTGCTGTTATGAGTACTTCTTCATCCCCACCCCAAATGCCTTGTCTATTATGCCTATCCTAACCCAGGATGAAAGTGGGAGCAAGTTGATGGATGCAGAGCTCCGGGCTGAGGTGGACACATTCATGTTTGAAGGACATGACACCACCACCAGTGGCATCTCCTGGTTCCTCTACTGCATGGCCCTATACCCGGAGCACCAGCATCGTTGCCGGGAGGAGGTGTGTCAGATCCTCGAGGACAGGGACACCTTCCAGTGGTGAGTGGCTATGGGTAGCCCAGGCTGTCCTGCTCAGCTCAGGGGAAAGGCTGTGCCGATGTTTTCTGGTGTCATCCCTGATGACACAGTACCATCTTGGACATAGGTGAGAACAGCAACCACTATCCTGTTACCTCCAGTATAAGAGGATGCACTTCTGAGGCCATTCTTTCACAATAGAGCCTTTTTAGATGTCAGTAATGTAGAGAAGGTGATGAACAGATGGCTGATTTCTTGTGTTGACTCTGATGGTAGAACCTGAGTACCCTTCTGGCCTTCTGGACAGAGCAGGGAATGCTGGGAGTCAAAGAGGTAGAAACTGAAGATGAACAGATTTGATAAAGCCAAAGGAGCTAATCTGCCTGTCTTCAAGTGGCCATGTGCAGCCTCCAGACCCACTGGTGAAGGAGGAAAAGCTGTTTTCCAAACTCCATCACTCAGAAACTTCGAATTTTTCTGTCATTTGGTTCACATTTCACTTGTTACCACAACACCACTGATGGTGACCTTTTTTTGCAGCAGGCTCTCTAGGAACCTTCCACAGCTTTGCCCTCACACCTCTGTCTCCCTGCCTTCTCCCTTCTCATCAGAACCTGGGCTAGGTACCTGGTAGGGGTGCAGAAAATGCTCAGTTGGGGAGAGAAAGTTTGGATGCATTTAAGGGAGATCCACATACATCCAGGGTCTAATATTTGGAGGATGAAGTCTCTGTAACTTATTTTTACGGGATGAATGTTGGCAGTCTTCCACAGTGTCCAGCCAGGTGGTAGGTACTTTCAGGTGTGTGGGTGAGAAGAAGAGGAGGAGGAGGAGCCAAATTGCTGTCCTTGGTAGTTTTTAGAGAGATTAAGTCACATAACTGAAATGCGAGAGAAATCTAAAGAATGAGTGACAACATGTTGCAGGCTGACCAATCAGAAGAGGTAAGGCTAAAGTTGGCTTTCTAAGGAGGGGTGAACTCTAATGAAGGGAGAGAGCCAGGAATTCTAAAGTGGGTAACCACATAAACAGGCCTGGAGGGAGGGAGCTGAAATACTGGGTTGGTCAAAATGTGTGTTTGTTTATTTGTTTCCTGTAAGATGCCTCTAGTAACACTTAATTTTCTTTAAATTTGTTTGAACGGATTATGTTAGATTGTATTGTGACAGCTGTCATATGAGCATGCAGTATAAAAACATCAAAATTGGTGAATTTTTTGTGTAGTCATTTTAATATTAAAGATGGAAGAAAATATGCAATGGTGTTTGGCATAGTATGCTTTATTATTTCAAGAAAGGTAAAAATGCAACTGAAATGCAAAAAAAATTGTGCAGTGTACAGAGAAGGTGCTGTGGCTGATCAAACATGTCAAAAGTGGTTTGAGAAGTTTCATGCTGCAGATTTCTCACTGGACAATGCTCCATGGTCAGGTAGACCAGTTGAAGTTGATAGCAATAAAATTGAGAAATTAATTGAGAACAATCCACATTATGCCTCGTGGGAGATAGCCAACATACTCAAAATAGCCAAAGCAATAAAGTTATTGGTGAAAAAATGTGTCTTCTATTTTATGGAAAAGGCTAAAGGGGCTTTTTGGCCAACCCAATATTTATTTTATTTTCACTTCATTCTATCTAGAACTTGAAGCAACTTAATGGATTCAATAAAACAACAAAGCACAAGTGGAAAAAAAAAGGACTTGAAGGGGAAAACCTAGGGGCTACAGAATAAGGTGTTGCCTAGTAGTTATAGTTGGACCTCACATTTGGGTGTGAACTTCCTAGTGGCAAATGGGAACAGAGAAATTATATATATACATACATATACATATATATATATGTATATGTATATATATTTATCTATTTACCTGAGCTTGTCATTGCTCATGTGTTTATTACTGTACTCAGCAATGACTATTAGCCACTTTTCCTTTTCATTCCAGCTCCACAGGGGAAAACTAACAGACACTAAGGGACTGTCTCTTGTGGGGCTTCTCTGGGGCTCTCAGAGACACAGGAGTGACCTTGTCTCTGATGGCTGGGTGCACTCACATGTCTAGGGTCCTGTGCTTTTCCTTCCTAGCAGTGAGGATGGGGGAAGGATGAAGAAAAGTGGAGTCAGAGTCCCTGGCATGAGTGGCCACCCTAGTGCAGTCTCCTGAGCACCTGGTGCATTTGTGTTTCTGTGAGCCTTGGGTGTGTGATAGTGGTGAAGGGGAAGTGGAGGCTGGAGCCTGTCTTCCCGCAGTACCCGGTTGCTGCCCATCTTCAGAAAAGTCTGGTTGTGTTACCAGCAGGGATGATCTTGCCAAGATGACCTACTTGACCCTGTGCATCAAGGAGAGCCTCCGCCTCTACCCGCCTTTGCCTCAGGTGTCCCGCCAGCTCAGCAAGCCTGTCACGTTTGTGGATGGCCGCTCTCTACCTGCAGGTGGGAGAGGATGCATTTGGGGCTGGAACTGGAGTCTTTGAGGATGTTTCTCTGACACTCTCTGTGCCTTTGGCTGAGTCTTTGCGTCCATGGCAAAGAACTCATGCTTGGTGCTGGCCTGGGTCCAATCCTGGCTCTATAACATGGGTAAACCCCTTTACCGCTAAATTCTTTTTCTTCTTTAAAATGGGTCTGAGGCAAATGGTGTTGGGAGAACTGGACAGCTACGTGCAAAAAAATGAAACTTGAGCACCAACTTACACCATACACCAAAATAAATTCAAGGTGGATAAAAGACTTAAATATGACACCATTAAAGTCCTAGAGGAGAACATTGGCAAGAAAATCTCAGATATTCCACGCAGCAACATTTTTACGGATATGTGCCCTAGAGCAAGGAATATAAAGGAAAGAATAAACAAATGGGATCTCATCAAAATAAAAAGCTTCTGCATGGCTAAAGAAAACAGTATTAAATTAAAAAGACAACCAACTGTATGGGAAAACATATTTGCCAATGATACCTCAGACAAAGGTTTAATCTCCAAAATATACAAAGAACTTACACGACTCCACTCTAGGAAGACATCGAACCCAATTAAAAAATGGGAAAAGGACTTGAACAGACACTTCTCTAAAGAGGACATACAGAATATCCAGAGACACATGAAGAGATGCTCAATATCGTTAGCTATCAGAGAGATGCAAATTAAAACCACAATGAGATACCACTTTACACCAGTCAGGATGGCTATAATAGACAAAGCAACAAACAACAAATGTTGGAGAGGGTGTGGGGAAAAGGGGACCTTAGTTCACTGTTGGTGGGATTGTAGACTGGTACAACCATTATGGAAAACAGTATGGAATTTTCTCAGAAAAATAAAAATTGACCTGCCTTTTGACCCAGCAATTCCACTGCTAGGATTATACCCCAAGAATCCTAAAACATCAATTTCAAAGAACCTATGCACCACAATGTTCATAGCAGCACAATTTACAATAGCCAAGAGTTGGAAGCAACCTAGGTGCCCATCAGTAAATGAATGGATCCAAAAATTGTGGTACATATACACCATGGAATTTTATGCAGCAGAGAGAAAGAAGGAACTACTACCTTTTGCAACAACATGGATGGAACTGGAAAGCATTATGCTGAGTGAAATAGGCCAGGCATTGAAGGACAAATACCATATGATCTCACCTTTGACAGGAAGCTAAAGAATAAAACAAACAAGCAAACAGAATAAAAACAAAGACGCTGAAATAGAGAACAAGTGGGCAGCGACCAGAGGGGAGAGGGAAGGGAACTTAAGGGGAAAAAAGGGGGAGGGATTTTGAGGAACAAGTATGAAAGACACAGAGATGAGGACTGGGGGGGGGGAATGGGAGGGAGAGGGGAGACCGGGCGGTGGGGTGGGGTGGGATGGGAGAAATAGATAAAAAAAATGTACTTGAAAAGTAACTAAATAAAATTAAAAAAAAAAGAATTTGAAAAAATAAAAATAAAAATAAAAATAAAATGGGTCTGAGGAAAGACCTGCCTTACAAGGTTGCTTCCTGGAGTAAATTATCAGGGATGTCTTGTATCACCATGCAAGTTGTTCCCTGAACAACTTCAGGAAGCATCATTCACATAGACTATGATGTGTGCAGTGCTAACCTGTGCAACTCCATGAGGGAGCTTCATAAAGAAAGTTCAACTCCATATCTGGCACATGGTCCACATGCAATGACAGGTAGCTGTCACTATTGATAGCATAATGCTATGAATAACTTCTTTTAACAGTCAATTCACTGAGAGCCAAAAGCGTGTAATGGTCCTTGTGTGTCCCGCCTTGTGGTGGGTGTGAGTTCAGTCCCTTTTTGTTCCATTCCACAAATGTCTGTGTCTGATGCTGTGCCCAGTGCTGACCTATAGGAAGTAGGCATGATGATAAGCAAAAGCACTTGATGTGTTGAGAGTTGTCATGAACCTTCTGTCACTAGCTGTGCTAAGGCAGAGGCTGGTGTCCAGTTAGGCAGACATGACGGGACCCGGGCCTTGTAAGGAGGTGGGCCTGGCTTCCCAGGACCACCTGGCTACCTTCGCCCTGCTCTGCCCACAGGAAGCCTGGTCTCTTTGCACATCTATGCCCTCCATAGGAACAGCGCAGTGTGGCCTGACCCTGAGGTATCCCATTCCTGAGGTTGGAGGTCAGAGGGGGAGGGAGGCTGTGGGGAGTCAGCCTCCCTTTGTACCTGGTGTGTATTTAAGCCTGGCCTGTCCCCTCAGGTCTTTGACCCCCTGCGCTTTTCACCTGAGAATGTGGCAGGACGCCACCCCTTTGCCTTCATACCCTTCTCTGCTGGGCCCAGGTAAGGAGAAGCCCCACATGTCCAGCCCCTCGGGACTGAGGAGGTGGGGTGGAGGATGTCTTGGGGGAGGCATCACTTTGGGGAACTGTGTGATGAGGGGGGGCCATGCTGGGTTGTGCTGATTCTAACACAGGGTAAGTTCCAAGGACTTTCTTCTTGCCATTAGCATATTCATGTTGCTAGCAGGGGGAGGGGTGGCTGAGTCATTGCAAGAGAGACCCCAAGCCAGAATCCTCAATGGGAATCTACTTACCAGTAGTCTGGGACCCTACCTTATGATCTGTTTCTAAAGCCCAGGTTGATCAATCTATCAGTCAATCAGTCATGCAAAAATAGTTATTGATTTCTGTTGGCCACTGAGAGCACTGGATTTCACCACTTCAGAACCCCATTCCTGATGCCTCTTTGTGTTGCTCACTGCAGGAACTGCATCGGGCAGCAGTTTGCCATGAACGAGTTGAAGGTGGTCACGGCCCTCTGCTTGCTCCGCTTTGAGTTTGCCCTGGACCCTTTGCGGCCACCCATCAAGAAGCCACAGATGGTCTTGCGCTCCCAGAATGGCATCTACCTTCACCTGAGGCCACTGTGCCCAGGTTCTGGGAAGTAGCTCTGCCAAGAGTAGGGCCCCAGACAGCCCAGGCTGTGGCCTTTCCCTGGGAACTGCCCCCTCCAGGCTCGGTTGTGGAGCAGCTGTGGCTCCCTGTCCTTGGGGGGCTTGTACTGTAGAAGGGGAGCTGGTATCCCCTAGACAGTCACCCTGAGGATGGTGCCAGAAACCAGGTGTGTCTATGAATGCTTACTGTGCCTGTTTCCTGGAGCTGACCCATTCACTCAGCAAACATGTGGTGAGAACCCACTTGCTTCTAGTCTCTTCCTTTTTTTTTTTGTAATAGGCAATCTTTCTAAAATGCAGCAGGAAGTTACATTCCAGTCTGGGTGATACAGTGAACACAATGGAAGCTCTGCCCTGGGATTCCTGGTTATGACCAGGCACTCCCCCAGTCCACGTGACAGAGGGTTGGCTTTGGGGCTTGGCCGTTCACAGAGATGGGTGTCTGTGTTTAACTTTGCATATATGTTTGGAAAGTAGCATAAGGAATATTTGCCTAAAGCAAAAGTATTCAGAACAATGAATTTCTAAAGCACACACCCAGGTAACCACTGTCAAGGTAAAGCAATATGGAATATGAACTCACAGGTATTTTTTCTACCCTCCCGAGATGGGACTCTGTGTCACTACTGCCATTCTCCATCTCTGTGTCAGAGTCACCCGGTGCCCTGGGTGTATGTGCTTTGGCTGGTGAAGGTGGCAGAATGACACTAGACAGCACCTTTAGGGGAGGGTGGTGCCTGAATCAGGCCTTGAGGCAGGGTGTGGTATGAGGTGCAAAGAAGGAGTTTGGGGGTGAACTTCATTTTAGGCCCACATGATGAATCAGGGGTCCTTCCCTGGTTGTCTTCGCAGCATTTCTTTGGTGGGTACATGTACCAGTAGGGTTCAAGGTCTGTGGGAGGAACTGCGTCCTGCAGAATCCTCCAGTCCACCATGGGGGGTGAATACATTGTGCTGGACACAATCTTGCTTTTCTGGTGGGAAAATGGGCAGCAATTCCCTCTAGTGGGGAATGCTCCTAGCCCTTCTCCCAAATGGCTTTATTGGGAATTGTATACAGCATACATGGATAGCTCATAAATCAATGTCAAAAGGCTATTGCCAAAAAAATGGGTATTATCTATAGATAAAGACAGAAGGAACAGAGATCTGTCATAGGTCAGGGTCTATTAGTCATGCTGATGACAGAGGGTCTTTTTAAAAAAATTAATTGATTGATTACTTAATGATTCAAATTTTTGTTGTTTAAATATGGTTTTCTGCTTTTCCCCTGCCAGCCCACCACACCCAGAGGGTCTTTAGGAAGTATTTCATGAGATAAGGAGTTTACTGCTTATGCCTTGAACTTAAACATCTGGTTTGCATCTACAGGGCTATACAAAACAGAATAAGCCTCACAGGATACAATGTATTTATCAGGCCTGAACCCACAGGGACCTTTGGTGTCAGAGTCATGTTGTGTGTGCCACCTGCATTTTTACCTGGTTTTCCAGGGAGACTTACTAGCTCCTTTCAGGGTTTGCTCTCCCATGTGTGCAGTCTTGGAAACCACATAGAGGGGTCCCCAACAAAGGTCTAAGGCCATTAGTGAACTGCAATCCAGGAATGAGACAGGTATGGAGGGAGGGCACCTGACACCAGGGGAGGGACAAAAGAGAATTCAGGCCTCTTATCTAATGGGGACCTTTCTATGTTGCTCTGAGGAGGGACCACCTGCAGACACGTTTTCTTCCTATTGATTCCACAGCCCTGGAAGCTGGGCCCTGAGCCCCTGCTCACTCTTGCAAAGTCCTGTTAAGACCTACAACTCACTGTGCACCTAAGTCTGGGATTCGGAAACCTTAGTCAGAGTGTTCACCATGCCAGCATCATTCTCCTGTGTCCTGGCCCCGGACAGACCTCTCTCTACACAACTGAAGAAAATGGTTCAACAGCTCTTAGCTGGGAACTGGGTCCAGTGGTCACAACTAAGTTTAGTCCATGGGTGGTGTCCCCAAGTCTCCTTTTTGGACTGTCAGGAGGCCTGTGAGTCAGGATAGGATGAGGCCATCATCCCTCTTCAATATTAAGGGAAGGAACCTGCCAAGATGCTCATCAGGGAGGAGCCTGAGTGAGCTCCTGATTCTGGGCCCTTTTGACCAAGGCTCCACAGGTAGTACTGATTCTGTTTGAGGACTCCTGTTGGTGAGAAACAGAGCTGAGAGCTCTGAGGGAAAGGGGAGGCTCCACGTGGGAGGGGAGGGTAGAGGCTGGGGACCTGAGAGCACCAGAGATGAGTCCACCTCATGCTTCCAGCTCTCTAGCACACCCTGCTGTGCTAGAGATCAGGATCAGAGGTGATCCTGAGCTCTGGTGCGTGTGTGTGGTACAGTGTGGTGTTGTTACCCAACTGGTGGCGTGGGTCCTTCTGCTCGCTGCCTGTGAGGCAAAACTCTAAACACAGGGTTTGGTGGAAAAGAAAGAAATTTTTAATTTAACAATCAAGAAAGGCTATTTAAATATTTGTCACAGCAATACCACATACACACAAGAATAAATAACTCAAGAAGAAGCTATGTATGACTAAAGAAGGAATACTAACTTTGTTCTAAGACACGCTAAGAAAAATCTTCTGTCACCCTCTGCCAGCTCAGTTTTTGGTTGTGCCAGGAACCTCTTCCCCATCCGAAAGCATGATAAATGTAGGTGGGTTAGCTGCTGTGTAGTCCCTGTTTCGCTTCAGGCATCTTTTGGAGTGTGTGCACCCAGGTTTCCTACTCCTGGTGTGCCTGTGCTGTTCCTGCCGCCACTGGAAGGGCTTGCACTGGCAACCCTTACCAGGCACTGGTCACCTCCCCACCCACGTCCCCCACCACAGGACTGGTGGTGAGCCTGAGGCCTGTGATAAGGAGGGGGAGCGAGTTGGTTTGGGAGGCTAGGGGTCTGCCCTTAACAGAACTGTGCTGTGTTGTAATGAGTTTTAAATGTTGAAGCTGAGAGTTCAGGGTCCTGCTCCTAACAGGTAGCACCTCATCCCTTCCCCTTCTACAGCCCCTAAGGTCCAGGTCCAGGACTTCCTACTTTTCCAAGAAGGAGGGGATATCAAAGGAGGAGGTTGATTTCTGCATCCTGCCCCTTTATAAAGTGAATCTCCTGCAAACAGCTGCATGTAACTCCCTAGTTGCCAGGGGAAAACAAGGGTCTGCAACTCCACCCCTCCTCTGTTTCTGGAGATGGAGTCCTGGTTTCTCCATTTACCTTGTTACAGTGTACAAGGGCACACACAGGAGTAACTGCCCAGGAGTGTGTCTATGTAAGCGTCAGGCATCTGTGTATGTGAACCTGGACTCAGCCTGGGTTTTTCTTATTGCTGGGAGCCAGTAGGGAATCTCCCTGGTCCTTCTCACTGCCTTGGAATGCTGTGGTTAGAGTACGTCAAATGGCTGAACAACTGGCTACTCTAACCTAGGAATGCTGTGGTTAGAGTATGTCAACGTGGCTGACCACCCAGATTTCCAAGTTCCCATTGTCCTGTGCTCTCTGATCATGGTCACTGAGCCCTTCTGCACCACCTCATGTCAGGGGACCTGCCAAACATCCTACTCAGGATGCTCCCAGCTCCCTTTCCTGCTCTATATCTCTGTCAAGCACTTGGTGCTCACCATGCTCCTCCTTAAAGCAGGGCTGAACTACCCCAGTGACCCAGGAGGCCAGGGGACTGGGGTGGGAGATCCTGGCTGCAGGGACAGGGTCAGAGAGAAGCACTTTGGGGAGGCAGAGTCGGTGCCTCCACCACAGGCAGAGGGTGCCTGGAGAGGTCTGTGTATGCATCCAGGGCCCTAGGTTAGGAATGGCTAGGGTTGGACAGGAGGAGAACCAGTGTTTGGAACCAGCAAGAGAACAGGGCTGGGCTGAGACAGGCTGATGGAGGAACACAAAAGGAACAGAGCCCAGAGTCAGAGAACCATGACCCACTTTGTCACCAAATGTGGCAGGGGTGAAGAAGCCCCTCTGCCTTGAAGGCAGCTGAGCAGAGATGTAGGGCCTGTCCTGGGGGAAAGGCATTGCCAGCTGTTTGCTGGCATCCTCTCTGATAGGACACACATGTCTGCCCACCTGGGCTTCCCCAATCCCTCCTGGACAGCTATCCCCTCTCTGGGCTCTGAGGTGATGGGTTTTGGCACCTCAGAGCAGATATTATCTCCCTGCTTAGTCTTGTCTCTCTCCCCAACCCCATCTTTCTTGCTGCTCTCCATCCAGCTCCTCCCAAGGCATGACAGTGTGAGCTGTATTCTGGGAATGGAGATAGAAGGAGAGGGTATGAGATTGATAAATGGGAGTACAGGAAACACACAGAAGGGAACTGGGAACATGGCTGATGGCAGTCACTAGGGACCCATTAGGCAGAAAGACAGCTCAAAAGATGTCCAGCGTCTAATCCCTACAAGATGTAACTATGTCCTCTTATCTGAGTGAGTCCATGTAGTCACAAGTGTCCTCATAAGAGAGAAGGCAATATGAAGACAGAAGCAGAAAGGACATCGGAGGTGCTGCTGGATTTGTGTACAGAAGAAGGCTCCAGGAGACAAGGGATGTAATAAGGCAGCTCTAGATGCTGGAATGACCAACACAGGGGTTGTCTCCTTGAGCTCTGTAGGTGGTGTGGCCCGAACAACACCTCGAGGTGATCCTGTGAAACACACTTCAGACTTATGAATCCAGATGCTAAGAGAAGATTTGTGGTGTGTTCTGTCACTGAGGTTACGGTAATTTATTATAGCATGTAAAGGAAACTATACAGGGAAGACAAGCAGGAAGAAAGTGAAAATGGCAGATTGGAGGGGCAGACAGAGGACCAGAGGGGGGAGGTGATGGAGAATGGCATGTGAGAAGCAGGACTTGGTTAGAAACCCAGAGGATGGCATCATGTAACAGGGAGACAGGATGGCAGGAAGGAGATCCTCAGAGCTTGCTCTTGTCCCAAAACGGATTAGTGGAGCTTTCTGAGCTGCAGGTGGATTCCATTCTTGGAACTCAGAACAACTTTTGATACTGGGATGGGGACTCTAAATGGATCCACCGCCAGCTCAAAGCGAAGCAGGGTCAATGCCACGGCCACCTTCAGCTCCTTCATGGCAAAATTCTTCCCAATGCAGTTCCTGTGCCAGGGAGGAGAGATGACATGAGAACTGGCCTTAAACCCTGTTTTCAGCTGGGCAGCCATTGGCTGCTGAGTCCTTGCTAAGAAACAGGGCATTTGATGTGACTCAATCCATTCCCCTTTGTTTTTAG